TGTGTTAGTACAGTTGAGAAACCTCACTTCAAAGCAGACGCTCTAGTTCTTCAAACTGTGATAAAAAAACGATAATTTGCCACTTCCCTCAACTCGGTTCTTTTGTGTTATCTCACAGAATACGCCTTCCGTATAGAGGATTTGAAGCAACTTGTGATGATCCTTAAAAGAATAAAAATAAATGAAAAATAAAAGTAGGAAGGTCGAAGACTGTTTCTGGAGGCAGGTAGCTTTGGTTTGAAAGAATGTGGATATTCCTCAATTTAACATGCGCGTTTTCTGTTTCATGTTTATTTTTTTTTTCTTTCCTCAATTTAACAGGCACGCTTTCTATTCAAAGTTAAGGGTCGCGTTTTTTATGTGAGATCTCGTATATATAGGATCTCTGAGAACCGCTGTGTCTGATTGATGTGGCTGTTATCGTTCTCTGGAGGATGTTTACAAGTGTTTATACAGCTTATCAGTCTGTCATCTCCAGTTGTCTTAAGTGAACAAGGAAATAGACAATTGCGCTTTCACTCGCAAGAAATGAGACACTTGATCACTCCGTCAGCTCCGTCGCGGCAAATCTCGAAGGCTTCCTGGAAGTCCTCGAATTTGAAGCAGTGAGTGATGAGGGGCTTCAGGTCCACCAGCCCCTTGGAGATCATTTCGATGGCTGTGGGGTAGCTGCGGGATGGAAAGGGCGTTCAGTCCCTTTGGCGAGATGGGGGTTACAGGAAAGGCCAAGGTCACGAAAAATAATTAAACGTGATGCACAATGCATGTATTATGTATACGCCGAGAGCGAGAAAATAGGTCAGAATGGTCGAGGTTATAAAAGTTTATATAAAAAAAATCACATTTAGTCTCACAGAATCGCATTATACCATGAATTTAGTATATCAGATTATCACTTACGAAGGTCGAGTCCCACCTACCAGTTGACGTATCTGAACACGCCCCTGATGTCGACCTCGCGGATGGCAGCGTTGACGAGGGCAGCGTGACGTCCTTCGCGGGCAGCCCCATCACCATCACGACGCCGCACATCCTCGTGGCCTGAGGACATCGCGGCCGCACATTAGGTCGTAATTTTGACTTCGCCAAAGGGTCGGAGCGCATTTAGCTCTCGTGGTAGAACCTTCTGGAAATGTATCCCGAAAGACTTACGTATATGGTCGACGCAAGGGCGGACTCCACGCCGCTGCACTCGAGGCTGACCTCCGGCATGCACCCCATCGTCTGCCTGACCCTCTGGGCGAAGGCGCGGGGTTCGCTCCCGTCCGCCAGCAGCGTGCGGTGGGCGCCCATCCGCTTGGCCGCTTCCAGCCGCTTCGGTTTAATGTCTGCGAGGAAGGATTCTAGGGCTCGGTTCTTTGTCATGAGCATTATCGAGAAAAATGTGATAATTCCGTGTATATTTTTCATGCTAAAATATCAGCGAAACCGACCCGTGACGAGGATGTTGGAGGCGCCCATGGCCTTCGCGGCGACGAGGCCGAGCAGCCCCAGGGGACCGGCGCCGCAGATCAGCACCGACGTCCCCATGGACACCCCGGAGCGGCGGCACGCGTGGATGGCGACGGCGAAGGGCTCGATGAGGGCGCCCTCCTCCAGGCTCACGGTGTCTGGCAGCCTGGGGGTCACAGAGAGGTCAACGTGTGGCAGTCAGGCGTGGATGTACAGCAATTGCACAGAATGCCCTTGTGTATCAAATAACGAAATGGCCGAACACTACATAACGGAGGTTCTTAAACTAAGGAGTAAGTTCCAAGTCCGGAGGAAAAATGTGAATTTCTCTAACTGCATTTGGCATTCTGTTATCAAGCTAAAAAGAAGTAAAATGTGATAATACCGCATTTTTTCCAGTCTGTCGTTTACCCAGGAGAACGTTTTAATCAGTTGGTGGATGATAAGTGAAGAGGGGATACTTAGGCAAAGACCAACTACAAGAAGAAAGGTGGCGGTAAAAAGCTCAAGAACGACATTTTCTTACGTGTTAATGTATATTTGTGAAGAAGGTGTCTATTATAGTTAGATTCCACCATTTTAATGAAAAACTAGTATCTTTACAACTGTGTACATTGTTTTCATTTATTTATCATTCTCGTAAATGATCCTGCCATTTATTCGTTAACTACATATCATTATTATAATGTACATACATACTGGTATATAACACTAAATTTATGCTAGCCTGCACGTATAATTATTCACAGGAGTGAAAACCAAAGCAGTTTGTGATCCGGTAATGTCTAGTTTGCATCCCATTCTGGTGCCAGTAAAGGTGAAAAAAAATATCCAAAAGGGACAATAATTAAATGTTGAAACACCAATTAATACGATTCTGGGAATGGATATACTCTGCGGAATGTTAGATGGAGGTATATAGGTAGATATTAGAGGATTGCATTAATCTTAACTGAAGAGCAGATGGAATAGTAAGAAAGCCATTGCTGAGGTGTCTCACGCGAAAGCCTCTGCAGGTGTGAAATCATGTCACCTGAAAATTCCGAACTAATGAAAGTAAAAACCAAAAGTAAATGTCTTCGATTTCCCTTTACCAACGTTCAACACCGGTATAATTACTTATGGCAAAGGTCGGCCCTGTGCTTGTAGTAGCGGCTGAGGCATCCTGGATTAGGCACGGGGGAGCTGTGGAAGCAGGAGGTCTCGCAGGTGTTATAATGTCCCCCGCGACAGAACTGGCAAGAACCGCAGGGATCTCCGGGCTCCAAGGCCACGCGGTCACCTGAGTCACAACACCAAAATCACCGTGGTTATTTGCTCCTAAAACCAGAGAAGAGAAGAGACAAATAAAGAAGGAAAAGTTAAAAAAGTCAAACAGGAACTGACCGGCCTTCAGGTTCTTGACGCCAGAGCCACACTTGGCCACGACGCCCGAAGCCTCGTGTCCCACTCCCAGGGGCGGCTCCAGTTCGTAGTCCGCCAGCTTCCCTTTGAACGCCAGGGACACATCCGAGCCGCAGATCCCGACCCAGGACATGCGCACGAGGACCTCTGCCGAGGGAGTGACAGGGCCGTTAAGGAGAGGCTTTGGCAGGGGAAGGAGGAAGAGGAGAAATGTCTTACTATGAGGATCAATGTACTAAAGGCCACTCATTCATATATATATTCATTTAGCTACTCATGGTTACCTGGGAAACTGAGAATTAAATCAATTAAAAGTACGAAAACCGAGACACGACAGAAAAAGGAAATGTGTACCTACCATGAGCTTCGATGTCTTGAACAGGCCCTTTCTCCTGCGGACAAACAGAAGTGTTTAGGTGATTTTTACAATGACTATTCAAAATCGTGTCACTGATTGAATGAATTCATAAATAAATCAATAAATCACGTGTTTGTATGTGTGTGTGTGCGTTTGTGTGTGTCTGTGTGTGCGTTTGTATGTGTGTTTGTGTTTGTGTATAATGTCCCTTTCCAACTTCTGTTATATTTTCTTCTGTGTTCGGCCCATTTCCAGTATCCTTGTGATATGCGGCCGGTTTGTTAGAATTGCACGAGGCCCGACCCAATGAATATTCATTATACGGACATGCATATACACAGAAATAAACGCACATTTATCTATCAGATATATATAAATTCATCTATCTATACGGTAGCTTGTCTAGATTATTAGACATACATTTATTTCAGTGTATATGCACGTCCGTATAAAAATGTTCATTGGGTTTGGCCGAGATAACAACTTAACAAACCGGCCGAGATAGTCTGCCAACCTTTCCCAATACCGATCTCTCTTTTATTCTTTTTTACCTTTCTTATTTCATTTTCTGTTGATCTATTCAGTTTCCAATCCCTCGGTTTGCTAACCATGTACTCATTTACGTTACTTAAAATATAGTTTCGCTTTAATGTTATTCTTTTTCAGACTTACATATATCCCCACATATTTACAGTCATCGATATTTTTTTCTGGATATCTTAGAGGGCACAAGTGTTCTCCACTGATATTTATTTACTTCTTTTCTTCTTTTTTCTTCTTTTATCGTCCTAAAGATTCCTTTCGAGTTATGAATAGTAATTGCTTTAGGGATATAGGATTCCCCTGTCTGACCCTTTTGCTGTCTTCATCTTACGTGAATCCTTAAGGAATGCTTTTGTTTGTTACGAGAGAGTATACAATGATGATACTCACGAAGCAATATGTTTGTTAGTATGCGTGTCAAAGGCAAACAGTCCGTGATATATGCATACACATATAACGCATAGATATACATATATGAGTTCTAGTTAATGATTTCTAGTCCTGTCATTAGTTATTCATGTTTATTGCATTCTCCTTGTCTCCTGGGATGGTAATTGTAGATATCCATACTTTTCACTTTGTCAAATGCCCGTCTATGCATCTATATGTTTCTCCTGACCTCCTTGGATCCTATATTGCATATACATGGACCAAGACATGAACGAGCCTGCATATATGGTGGATCCCTGTTACATGCGCAGATATATATATATATATATATATATATATATATATATATATATATATATATATATATATATTATATATATATATATATTATATATTTTTTTTTTTTTTTTTTTTTTTTTTTTTTTTTTTTTTTTGCCTTGTTTTATCAGGTGATTTTGAAATTTGAAGAATATGAAGGGAAAGAGGAAAGGAAGAGGGTGAGTGGCAGAACAAGAGGAATAATGGAATAAAGAGACAGAGACAGAAAATAAGAAGAGCGGGAGGAAATGACTCCCATGAGTTTTAGTTTTCTTTGCGAAAATGATGATGCCTGAATTGGCACCATTTTTAGTCTGAGAAAACTTACCTATCCCAAGAAATTTACATACCCCCCCTAATTACTCCCTCTGTCTTCCCTCACCTATTTTTAGCATACCCGAAGTCCAAGCTAGTCCATCCCCATCATCCTTGGTATACTCCTTAAAACTTGACCATTCACCATGCTACAGTACAAATCTACTCCATGTCTTCTGCCATAAGCCCTAAAGTACACTCACAATCAATCCCAAACACCCACTCCTCACTACTCCTTAAAGGTACTCTTCTTCTACTCATTCCTGACTTCCAGTATTCCCTCTTTCACTCATGATTACCGTTAAAACTTAATGAGAAAGGCCATAGACAACCCACCCACAATTTTTCCTCACGAATCGTCGAAAACCTTTTGTATTTCTTCGTCTCATTTGCATCTCTCTGACAAAAACAAAATCTAGTCATGGCTTACTCTATTACTCTAGATCACGTTTTCTCGTTTATTCCGCCAACAAAGATTTAATCAACTATGGTGAGCTTAATCTCTGGAAAAAAGTAACATTGGCAACTCACTCAGGGCACTGGAGTATTCCGATTTTCGTCTGATTTCAACCAGCTAATCCTTAATACTTATGTTTATATATAATTGGCATTATAAAACCCATATAAAATATTTTTTAATGTCATACCAGTTACTTCTAAAAATATCATCATAATATAATAATTGGGAAAAAACGTACTTGGCGATTTTGAGTCCAAAGTGAGTTGCCAGGTATCCCCTTTCTGAGACTGGGCGGAGTTTCGGTGCCATTGCAACACGCATTAATCAACATCACGAATCATCGGCATCTTATCGTCGCATCATTTTCCCCTTGCAGCCTACATAGTTTGTTGCATAATGATCAGACCAGCGTTGATAACCTTTTGTATTTTTTCATCTCATTTGCACCTCTCTGGCAAAAAAAAAAAAAAAAAAAATCTAGCCATGGCTTACTCTAATACTCTAAATCACATTTTCTCGTTTCTACCCACAGTCTGTCAGAGTCGGGGCTTCATGGTGGCACGGGGGGGGGGGGGGGACACCCGTCGTAATGTCAATCATTGCGTAAACTTCTTTACCGACGCTGCACCGTAAGGCGGAAACAAAGCTGAAACGTCGTTTTAATAGACTATGTTAAGAGCTCAAGAAGGCTTTTATTTTGGAAAAAGAAGGAAGTGGTTCCGCGCATGAACTCGTGTAACTTCACCATTACATTCTAAGAACTTAAGTGGTGCTCAGTTAAAGTAATTACGACACAGAAGAACACTGCTTTGTTCACTGTACAGAGCTAGAAGCACCAACTTCTGACTAACTGTACAGCAAACATCATAGTGTTCTGTGTTAGTCTACCACATGGTTAAAGTACACCCAGCAGGTTTAATGTGGCCAAGAAAAGCAAGATGAAAGCTTGAACAATGTGTAACTGTATAATATAAATATATAAGTGGGCAGCCTTAATTTTTGTCACTTATGGGCGGCCACTCCACATTTATTGTTGTTACCCCCTGTGCCCCCCACCAAAAAAATTCTCTGGACCCGCCCCTGGTGTCTGTGTGTGTTTGTCTGTGTATGGGTGTGAGTTTGTGCATGTGTGTGTATGCTTGTGTATGTGTGAAGTGTGTATGTGTGGGTTAATGAGTGTGGGTGGGTGAGTATAAGTGCGTAGGTAAGAGCCATACGCATAATGGTAATGAACACATTAAGAACGTTAGTAAAACGTTAATATCTTCCCGTCAGAAAATATTCAACTTTAAGTAATTGCCAGTGAAGCAAAAAAAAAAAAAAAAAAAAAAAAAAAAAAAAAAAAAAGTCAGTAATGCAATTTTAAGTCCTCGTTTTTCGTACCCAGAGTTTCTGAGTACGAAATAGTCTTGCGTTGTAGTCGGGAAAGCGGTCGTGAAGCCTTGATTAATCTTCGTTTTGTCGAAAACGGGCTCACACGTATCAATCCATCTCGTAAATGACAGAGCTTATTATATCTGACAAGAAAAAAGCCCCAACCCAAGGTACATTAAGCCTACGTAACGCCTACTTCAGTTCTGGTTCACTATTTCGATATCTTTCTCCCATTGCATAAAAACCCTCACTCATTTTCCTTACCAAGCGCAGTTCTCCGACTCCGCGAATAACTACGTAGGAATTCATCTTGACCTTCTTCGCCTGGCGGTCCAAGCACGACTGAACCGGATTTCGCCCGCGTGAGATCAATAGCTTCCCGCCAAACTCGTTCGATTTCTTTGCGTTGTTTTTTCTGGTTGCTCGTTTTTTTTTTTTTTTTTTTTTTTTGGGGGGGGGAGGGGATAAGGGGATTTTTTTCTCCTTCTTCTTCTCCTTGTGTATGGGGGGTGAAGTGGTTGTTAATCTACTTTCAGTTATTTAGTCGTGTTTTAGCCAAACTGAGTTGTATGAAATCATGAGCGTTATCTTACATTTTCATCTCTCTCTCTCTCTCTCTCTCTCTCTCTCTCTCTCTCTCTCTCTCTCTCTCTCTCTCTCTCTCTCTCTCTCTCTCTCTCTCTCTCTCTCTCTCTCTCTCTCTCTTTTTAACAGAATCACTTATAAAGCGCATATCAAACTCATTAAACTACTTGTAAACTATCGACTATCTACTACTACTATCTTTTTATCAAATTACTTCTTAATGCGATATATCGATCAGTCCGCGGTCGTCTAATTTCAGCTGCTATCTGAAGTACAGGGTCATGAGGTCTTAGCAACAGGC